AGTTTTCTCACGTGAAAAAGGAGGGAGTAAGCTTAATTCTCTCCAAAGATTCATCTGGTGCCAACGTTCTGGAGAGGGAAGGGGCTGGCACATTCCACACGAACAGCATTTCTTCCACCAGGGATCCTCTGTGGATTGCCTTCTTGGTATACATTGCTTTCTTTGTGCTTCAAAAAGAAGCCTTTTTTCCCTACGAGATAGGCCCCTCTGGACCCTTGTGGTGCTGATTTTACTCTAACTTGAAAATCTGCACAGAGGCTGTAGTGCTCTGGTCGCCTCACTTCCTCTTCCTTGCATGGTTCCCCTGTAGATCTCAAAGAGGACTCCACATGGATCTTGTGGGCAGAAGAGGGGCAGGTGAGGCAGGGCCGGGGAAGACCTCCTGACATCGCCTGTTCAGGTGAACAGCTTCTAGCTCATTCACTGTCCTCTTTGCTTCCTCCTGGACTGTCAGGAAATGGAAACGGTTGTAGCCACCCCAGGGAGGAACGCCGCCATGTGCTGGCTGCAGCCGTCCTCACTTCTTCGCCAGAGAACCCGGTGGTAGCAATTTCACATTTTCCTCCATGTTGCTGCTTTACCGTGCTTTTATCAAGTGGGGAATTTGTCTTCAAATACCTGATGCTTTTTGTGTAGGCCGAACTTAAAAAGCAAATTACCCAGCAGGAGTATTCATATAGCTTCAATCAAGTCAGGCACAGTAATTAAATAGCAAGTGCCCTTCCCTCCGGACTCTGATCCCCACGTGCCCATATCCCAGTTTTTTCAAGGATTGCGATGCAACCCCAACATCCAGAGCTTGTGCTCCCTTGACAGTTGCCCCACCGAATGGTGATCTGGCTGAATTTTGAATGCCCTGAAATGACCATGAGAACTCATTACATCTTTAGATAGCCCTAATTCTGTGCCCAAATCTGCAAAAATATGCTTCTGTGTAGCTTTACATCCTGGGCCCTTGTGCTACTGTGCGGGACAGAGGAATTACAATGTCTTGCATTTCTTCTCTGCACCACCCCTTGCCACGAGTGCTTTTGGAACATCATCTCTCTTGATCCTCCCAGTATATCCACAACATCAGGCAGGTGTATACTCTCCAAGGGCAGGTATATTTTATCTGATCGGTTCACTACTCAATCCCCAGTCTCTAGAACAGTATCTGGGTGATAGCAGGCACTCAGTATTTGCTGAATTTAAAGATACTTACTGTTATTATCCCCATTTTACAGATGAGAAAACAGATTCACAGAGTTAGAACACTACTACAAGCTGCAGGGCTACTTTAATAGGATCCGAAGGAATAAAGCCATTATGAGGAGGATACCATTTGTGTCCAAGAGGCTCTGCCTCTGCCACCCCCCCTCCAGGTGGCTGCCCAACCCACGTTTTTGTGAGACAGACACAGCCAAGCTCCACTGCTGGGGCTGGGGGGGCAGTGGTGCCATGGCCCCGGAATGCCGCTTAGAACAACGTGGTGATGGTTAAATAAGTTTAAAACACTTGGGCTCTCAAGGGCCTCATTTACAGCAGCATGTTGCCTAAATAACCGTTGCAATGGACGATGGCATCTGATTATCTCCCTTCTGAGTGAAAACTGAGGGGGTAAAAATGGTAGCAAAGATGGGAGCAAAACAAGCAAATGCAAACAAACACCACAAACCAAACTAAAGCAGAACAAAACCCCAGAAACCCAAAACAAACCCAAACAAAACTTAGGCACTGGAACAATGAAGAGGGAGCGTCAGGAGGGTTTGTCGTTTTTTTTTTTTTTTTCCTGTGGAAAAAAATGTACTCCTTTTAGCCTGAGGAGCCCGCATGCTATGTGTTGGACCATTGGTATGGGGCTCAATAGCAGCGCCCTGTTTCAAGTATCATTTTCTGTCTTGCAAACCCCAAGTGTCTTGGGAATTTACCTTTTCTGCTGAGTTCTCTTCATTGAAAGAATTGTCACCCTGACCCTGACTTTTCTTTTTTTCCTTACACTTGGCCAAGAACGCCCAAGTATCACAGTTTTTTTAGTTGGCCAGGAGAAATAGTTTTGACTAATGGAATATTTTTCTTTGGTAAACAAACACCAACTGAAAACCAACCAAAAAAGCTTCTTTGGTAAAGTGAACATTAATGTCTTGGTTGGAATTAATTGAAAAAGAAAACTTTTGCAAGTGTTTGCCAGGACTCTCCCCTCCCTCTTTGTAGCAATTGCAAAAGTAAAACTTCACCAGGTAAAGACTTAAATTTTATGGGGATGTGATTCTGAGTTGCTTTGAAAGTGGCTTCTCCATGGTGGGGCTAAACCAATGCTGTCAGAGCAATAATCATTAACAAATAATGATCTAACAGTAAATAATAAATCTTGGCATGCAGAGTCCCCTAGTAAAAAAAATTCATTCCACAGTCAGAATTCCATAAGCCTTGATTTCAAGTGCTGAAAAGGGAAGTTGACAAGGTTGAAAATGCCCTTCATTTAAAAATACAATATTCCAAGGTATACAGAGACTCAATCAAGTTGGAAAACTACTATCTGTCATAAAACAGAGTTCCACAGCAAGTCATTCTGGTTGACCAAATTGAATGATTAAATTCTCAACAAAATCCATTTAATTGGTGTGTGTGTTTTATCAGTTCTGTGGAGTAGCTTTAACCCGAGGTACTCCACGTGGCCGACACTAAATCAATGGCTGATTTAGAACACACTGTTCAGAAAATGATTTAGCAACATATGATTCAAGAATAAAACCAATCCCCTCTTCAGCTGTGTTTTATAAATAATAGCCTAGTTGCAGGCCCCTTGGAGAGAGAATTGATCGCAGATCTATTATGCGAACTTGCCCTTTTTTGAGGACTTGTACTTGTCCTCAGATTAAAGCTCATTATCTTCTAGTTGAGTGCATAACACTTTAGTATGATCGCTTAGTGTGTCTGCAGGAGAGATTGCACAAGTGTGTAGTAATGCACTAGCTATGACCCCCTGCACATGTATTTAGAACTGTGAGAACAACAGTACATGAAATAGAAAGCACAGATTTGCACTTGGTGCAGTTACATCTGAATCATTTGGGCATTTTTGCTGTTTGGAAAGACAATGGCAAACCTAAATCCCAAACATACCCAGACATTAAAAAAAAAAAAAAAAGTCTGCCTTGTGGCCAGTAAAGTCCTATGTTCTTTCCTTGGAAATGTACTTTGAAGGGAGTAATAGCCCTCTTAAGGGAAAATCTAAAAGTGGCCTGCCCTGTGTTAGGCATGCTAAAATGATGGAAACCCTCTAGTGGTGTGACCCTGGCCGAGTCGCTTGTTTCTCCTAGGTCTCGGTCTCCTCCTCTGCGGAGGATGGGGAAGTTGCACAGTACGTCCGCTAAGGTCCAGAGAGCAAAGGTGCTTTTGGGAAATGCTTACCACTATAGATGTCTAAATAAGCTACATCTCTAAAAGGGAAAAATACTGCAGACATTTGCCTCAAATGTGACCAGGAGTTAGCTTCATTTTTATAGACATAAAGAAATGCAGGGAACTGGGACAACATACACAGCCTCTTCCAATCAAGCTGTTTCTTTTTAGAGCCTGTGGATACGGCAATCAACAGTATAAACAGTATAAACTAGGTTCATTAATGTACAGAAGGGCCGTGCAGTGCATTAGAGGGGCGCCAGCAAAGGTATGTGTGTGTGTGTGTGTGTGTGTGTGTGTGCGTGTGTGTGTGTGTGTGGTGGGGGGGAGCGGTACCAGGAAGATGAAAGTGCAGCCAGCTTAGCAGGAACGTTTGACCATCACCAGTGATACTTGGTATTGGTGATTACATCTTCCGGTCATTTCCATATGTCTCCCCTTCAGTCATTCATCTCCCTGCCTGCGCTTCTCAACATTTTCTTTGTTTCAGGATTACACTGACCGGAGAACTTTCTTTTCTGCTCTGTGTCTCTGAGCAGCCATGTGTCATTGTGAAGGCAGACCGGCTCTACTAGTTGAAAGCTATGGCAGATAACCATTTCAGTGTTCATTTCTCCTTCCTCAGCTATGCGTAGGCAGATGTTGTTTCTGGGCATCCACGCAAAAACTGCATGTAGGGTCAGACTGCAAACAGCTGTACCAGCTGGCCATATATTTTTGTTAAAATGGAGACGCTGTTTCTGGGTTCAAGTAGACACCTGATTTTCCTCCATCGTGCCAGGTATTTGGGTTTGGCTCTGTTGTTTGGGGTACTCAGAGCCTCCTGCCAAGAGCTGTAACTAATAAAGCACATCCATTTGGTGACACGCAACAAGATATTCCAAAATAGAATCGCCCCAACTCCGCGATGCTGGAGCTGTCATTGGTTTAAAGGTGTATTAACCAAATCATACACACGTTGAAAATATACTGATGGAGTGATATGATCAATTCATTTGAGACAACAAAACTGCCTCACCTGGGTGAATTTAGAGATCACTCAATTTCACTCCGTGGGTGATGGCCACTCTACTGTGTGTCACTTCCAAGGTTCTCGCTTGTTTTTGCCAGCCAGAACTTTTGAAAGCATCTCCTTGGGGTGCTGGGGAGCTAGATGAGACAGCTAAGACCTCAAACCACAGACCCTGCCTGGAGCTACTGCTCTGCAGAAGTTCTGGAAGCTTTATTGTTTGAACAATGCTTAAAGCTATTTCTGCCTTGGCAGCTGACCTTTCAATCAGTAGGTTTTTGTCACAATACCAGCAACATCTGCAGTGTGAATAAAATAGGATTCTGCTTGCTAATAAGCTTTCTTCTATTTGATCTTAGTTTAAGACTGTGTGTATGTGTGTGTGTGTGTGTGTGTGTGTGTGTGTGTGTGTAAATCTTTCTGGTAACAGTCCTTTTGTTTTAAAGACTGGAGATATGCAATGCCCATTTCCCCCCTTGTCCTTTACTTTGGCAATGTCTGTTTCTTATACTTAAAAAAGAAAGAACAACTTTGAATTTGTTTCAGTAACATAATCTCTTTGCTCTCAATAAGACCTAGGGTGAAAATATAACAAGCAGAGACTCTATCACACTGTTGTAATTTGGTCAACCACTCGGGTACTGTCAATATCCACCATTTCCACACATTCAATTTCCTCCCGGTTTTCAGGGTTTTTCTTCTCTTTCCTTTTTTTCTTCGAGGGTGGCAGGAAAGTCAGTATCACAGGTAAAATGGCAAAGCAGTGAAAGAAGGTGACAAATGCTATTAAAAACAAGCACCTGAACAGTGTACAGGTCAGATTTGAAGGCACAGCTGCGAGAGGAATCAGACCAACAAGATAGCAGAGGTAACTCTGTAAAATAGCTACCCCATGCACTTCCAGGGCATTTTTTACCCACTTAGTTCTTGTGAAATCCTTGCCCAGAACGAATGTGGATAACAGTGGAGCACAGTTATCAATTGTGTAGTTAATTCCATAGATTAAGCAGAGCACAGAAATGCAGTCCAGTTCTACTTTCCATAATGTCATGAAACCTATAACTCCAAACTCCACGGACACCACCGTGAGAGTGAGCCAGACGTTAATCAGAGCATCTGCCACCAGGAATGCCGAGAAGAAGAGCAGGAACAAAGCACTGATGCAGGAGTTGTGCAGGGGGGCTCCCAGAGAGGAGGCATATCGATCCATATACACGAAGGACGGGTTGAAGACAATGAACTTCACCTTGGAGGTGACAGAAAGTCTCCTGAGGGTCTCCAGGAGATCATAGAGTTCTTCTCTGTTAGTTTCCATGGTCTTGGCCACCAGAAACATTCTGGAGGCCACTACATCAACCTCATCATTGTACTTTTTAGAGAAGATGATGTCCTCTTGAAAATGTGAAAATTGGGGAGCTTTCAGGAAGGAATTTCTCAACATGTCTGTGAAATTTTTCTTAGGCAAGCCAGTGGACACATTGAGTTTCCGAAGGTAATTTAAGTAGCTCTCAAACCAGGATATCCGCACAAACCCCTTGGTGTATTCTAGCACATCTTCTTGGACGCTAGTGTTCCAGTACTCTATTGACTCGTATATGTAAAACCCAATCACTGGACTGTAGTTACTAAAGTACTTTTGCTGGGCAGTAGTGTACTCGATGGTTTGCGTTGCGGTTGCTACGATGTTACTAAGGTCTGACCCTTCACTGACCTGCAGATAGCCCATTAAGGCAAAGGAAATATAAATAAGGTAAAAGAGAACTACAAAAGGCTTGACATAGGTGTTGGTTATCCAGTCACAGTAATAGCGTTTGAGGAAACATACCAATAGGTGACTCTCGTAAGTGTTCGCTTCCTCGCCATCAGTTGTGTCCTCGCTGAATCTGGCTGTCAGGAGAAACCTGTACCATGCCGGCTTCTCCTGCAATGCCTCGGGCTTTGGGACTTTTCTACAGAAGATACTATGCTGGTAATTGTTTTCTATGTAGCCAGTGAATACCAGGCTGGAACCATAAAACGAGAGTACATAGAGGTAGTTGAAGAAGATTGCAATACAGGAATTGCAGCAGAAAATCCTGGCTGCCTCAATGTTCGTGAAAGGGCTGGCCCCTATGCCAAAGGTGACCAGGTACATGGCAGTGGTGAGAGAAAAGGAGAGCATGGAGTCTGCATAGACTGCTGCAGTTCTCTCTTTAACATGTTGGTCTTCTCTAGTTTTCCTCCAGGAGGATAACATTTCAAAAGTCCCATATAATCCATGACCTGAGGGGGGCAGAAAAAGACCAGATCAAAAGTTGAAAAGACTGCTGTCTTTCAAGAGGGGAACCAACTTGGTTATGGGGGTCTACTGGGTCAAGGGAAATCTATCCAACCCTGGTGGTGACAGGTCAATGCTACTGATTTCTTCTGTGGAAGAGGGACCTGTGTTTTTGCGAATCCTCAATGTGAATGGCTAGTGAAAGGGGGGAGAGAGGAGCTAAGACCTTCACGTTCCCTTCTGGCTGAAGAATGCGGAGTGGACTTTTGCCTACAAAAAGCCGAGGAGACTTGCATCTGTCTCTTGGGGACTATATACGGTGCTAGTTTAGGGCTGGTGGTGCAGCTTGCAGTTTTGTTTGCCTTGGTTGGTGGAACACTCCAGAGAAGGCTCTTGGCCATTCATCCCTTGGCTTGTCCTCCCCCCAAGTCTGGCTGGAAGTTAGCATGGAGGAAGGCAGGGAGTGGGCAGAGGCCTCTGAATATCTCATCGCCTCATTTGAGTTTGGCCAGGTGGAGTGCTTTAGGGAGAAAGAGGCCATGTATTTAATTTGAGCTTTGACAGGAAACTAAACCAATAGCCTCTTCCCCCACCCTCCAAGCATCAGTTCAAGAAGTGCTAAATCTGAGACACAGAGGGAAGCACAATAGGTAGGAATGAGTTGGAGTGAACAGGAAAGATGGAAGATGGAACACAATTCACATGAGCCCTCCCTGCAACTGATAAAAATTAAAATTTGGCTTGTAGGTGTAGGGCTTGCATTTTGTCTTCAGAGACCTGTTTGACCAATTTTGCTTGTTCATAGATGACGCATCAAGCAGGGGGTAACTGTGCTGGCTTCTCTGCACTATGTGGCAATGGCCTCTGAGGGAGAGAGGCTGATCAGTCACCTCTTTCCGTCAGTACTCAGTGCCTCTGTCTCCTTGGTTAGTATTCCAGTAACCCTGGAATAGTGGAAGCACGGTACATGCTCACGTTTTGACTCCGTTCTACTGCTTGAGGCTTGATCTAGCTTGACTACTCCCACCTCTCCTGGTTGGAGACAGACACTTGCCCTATGCCTCTCCGTGGGTTCCCAGGCCACTATAACATCAGAAAGCCCAGCAAAAGTGACCTGTTGTGGCTTTCAGGAACCCCTGTCTTGGCACTGGCATCAGCAGATCTCATCTTTTGCGTCTGTGCCTTGGCATGTTCAGTCCCGTTATTGAGGATAATAAAATCTTTACCTGGTGGTACGACAGTCTTGTTTTTAAAAAGGAATTTAAAATCTCCAGCCAAGCGTAATGCTGGGTGAAGTGAGTCACTGTTATCTGTGTGCACAATAACTGGGTGAACATCTTCCCTTGTGCTCAGGCCTGCGTTTATATCCTGATTGTGAAGTCTTGCTCGGTCTCAAACCTGAATGCCCGTTTCATAGTCGTGATATAGACCTGTTTCCTCCAAAGGATTTGGCATTTATCTTAATTTACTAGGCATCCTTCTACTGCCACTTTTAGAGGTCAGGTCGAGACTGTCAATTTGATAACTAGTACCGTGGTCCCTATTAAATTGGAGACACCGAAACTCCCCAGACGTGCAGTAAAACATGCACTCTTTGACTGCCCTCCTGCTAATTATGTTTCAGAAAGCTAACATCTAGTCTCGGGAGGGAAAACTATTTATTAAGTGTGTTTCCACATTGTGCTCAGGGAGGACTGACCGACCTTCGATGAAAAGTGAACCATTCTAGGACAGTGAGAGTAAAAAGAGGATTAATACCCCCGAGGCATCTGCACGCCGGGGGAACAGTGCTGACCGTGTCATCTGTGGCCATGTAGACCAGGTTTTCAGGGGTAAGACACACTTTGGAGCTCCACTGAAGATGGCAAATGGCAGGTTTTTTCTAGTATTTACTTGCTAGAAACCAGAAAAATGTTTTAAAACAGGGCTTTAGTACTGAGTCATTAAATATGGGAAGAATGTAAGGAAGCATAGAGCAGGATTAAAATTAGTCATGGAGTAGAATTTAAGTGAAATCTGTTCTGCAGTCATTTTTTTTTTTTTTTTTTTTTTTTTTATTTATTTAAAAATTAAAATAATATTTTAATTATATAAAAAAAAATATTATTAAAAAATACCATAAGACTCCATTTCTTACCATGCTGTTGAGTAATCTTAGAGGCTCACTGAGGAAAGGAATTGGAATTAACAGAACTATTAGGTGAAGACAGTGAGGCTCGAAGGTCCAGAATGAAAATAATCAAACTCAAGGGAAGGTGGAACGAGGCTGTTAGCTTGGCTCCTGAGTTCTGTTGTTGCATTTTCAATGCCTTGTCCTTCTATAGTTTGGTCATTTTTATCAAGTCCTGACTCTCCTTGCATAGGTTCTTGGTCTTGGGGGCAGCTCCAGAGAGAATTTTAATTTTATTCTGAGGGGCTCTTGGAAACTATGCCTTTCCTTCATTCCTCTTGTGCCAGAGGTGTGCGTGCGGGCACTCAGAGGCAAGAAGAGGAGGCCCTGACAAAGCACCTGCTCTACCTGGTCACTCAATTTGTTGCTAGTCTTTGTCGGTCTTGCTTCCAAATGCCCCCGCCATCATTCCTGATAAGGCAGATTTTCTTGTTTCTCAAGCCACAAGTTCTGTTTCTCAAGTTCTGTTGAAGAGGTCATTTGAGGGTCTGTTACCCTCAAGGAACGCTGAACTATGGGGTCTCTGTTTTCTGGCCTGGACTCAAGAGAAGTCATATTCCAGAAGCCCTAGACCTGGGGAACACCTTGCCTACTCCCTCAATGCCCCAGAATGCCCGCCCAGCCCATAAATATAGCCACATCCCCTTTGGTTTGGGCTTTCAAGGATATTCTTAGAAATGCAAACCCCTCTGGGACAGTGGTCTCCTGAAGAAGCTTGCCTTAGGTCTGGGGGTAGGACAGAGGCTGGAGATGGGGAGGCAGTGAGGAGGAAATTACAGGTAGGTGGATTTCACAGAGATTAAATCCTTCACTGTTTCCTTCACAGCCAGTGCTGGCTGTATCTTTTGTAGCCACTTCAGAAGCAGGCCAGGGGAAATCAAGGAAAGGCAGGGAAGAAAGATTCAGGTAGGTTCTGTTCCTCTTCACTCTCCTCTCTCAGTGCATGCCTCCCTTCTTTAGCCTCGCCATCATCCACCACTCTCTCAACTTTGGGACTGGGGTCTAGCAAGCAGGACTCTGAGGCCAGAGTTTACAGAGGCAGGCAAACAGTGCGTGTGGATTGAGGATACTTTTCTGAGGTTTGGCTGTCATTTCCCCTATTTTTAAAAGGTGCTTTAAAAGCAAAAATATTGCTGTCTTCTTTGCACTCTAGTTTTTACATTTTCTCTATGAAGTTGGAAGTCTCTAAGCCTTTCTACTAAATCTGACCTCTGTCATTGGCTCAAAGCATCGTTTCGGCAAGGGACCATTATCTAACCTCCAGTGTCCCAAGCCTGTTCACCAGCATTCCCTGGTAGCAGCACTCATATAGGGAACTACCGAAACATGAAGTTCCAAACAGACTCAGCCTTTGGTGACCAGAGGCCCTGTGGTGGTAACAGGAGTCAAGGCTCAACATCGCCATGGCAGGTCCACAGCCCAAGACTTGGAAGTAAAGACTGTGTGATGGTGAGTGCGCCGGGAGCCGACCAATATCCCAGGCCATTCCCTCTCTTACAGTCACAGTATTTAAGGCTGAAGAGTTGCCAAAGGAAACAGTTAAACACTGCATATTGATTCTATCAAATTCTTAAGGTAAAGAAGCTTTCTTTTGAAAGCATAGGCAAGATGTTTGTTTCTGTTTCCGTACATCGCATGTCTGTATATTCCGTGCGTATCACTATGTGTTAAGATACACATCCAGGCTCAAGTTCTCATTAGTCATGAGTGAAGGCTTTGAGGCAACGGGGGCTGTTATCCATGTCCTGGGATGAGGGACCGCAGAGCTCTTCACCACTGTTCAGGTACGGTTTGTATCAGGAGTGCAATTTATATTTTATTAGCAGTAGGCTCTGGGATTGTCATCTAGTACAATCAAATACTCGAGGATTTAAGCTAATATTTTTCCTTCTTTTCCAAGTGATTTTATATCTTTACGTGAGCTTGACTTTCAGGCTTTGGGGCCAGTGATGAGAAAAAGCAGTACAAGTGGTTTACAGCACTAACGGTGGCGAGACCTCACCTGGCTAATCCTCCAGTCACTTGGGGGTGAGTCTCAGAAACACTCACGGATTAAATCTCACCCTCACCCAGACCCTTTTCTGGGGCCTGACCAAAGCCTTCAGGGCTGTTTACAATCAATCCACTAACGTAGGAATCCACCAATGAATTGTTGAGAGTTTACCCAGTAGATGGACTTCTGGAGAGCTGTTCATAAAATGAATCATAGTTTTTCAGGTATTTCATGGTTTTGCTATCAGAGGCAGTCTGGGTGGTTTGTTTATTAATTTTCTGTCAATGGATAATCGCCAGCTAATTGATCTATCTTGTACATCTGAATTCTGTAAGGCTGATTTTCCCTAGGTCCAGATTCCCGTGCCTTCCCCGACACACACACAGCACAGAGGCTGATCACGTTTTCACCTCTTCCATACTAGCAGGATTTCCTCATCTGAGTTCCTAAAAACAAGGAATAGCTGAGACAATAGGAGGTGAAACGGGATGGCTTGCTAATGGATGATCTTTTAGTTTCAGGGTGAAAACATTTAATACTGGGAGACAATGATGCCATTTACAGCATGCCTGGGCAGTACCAGATTTCATATGTGGAAATAAAATTACTTCATTCTTCTAGAAAATCCAGAGTATAATGAATGCATGAGCAAAATCTGCTTAAAACAAATTTTATTCTTAGATGAGGTTCACTAAGTAGCTCATGTTTATAAAATGCTTTTCTTTCAGTGACATCCACATAAATTCATGATTTTTGTTTCTTTGTGAAGAAATGTAAAGTGTATGTTTGTCTGGGTTAAGTAACATCTATTTTCAGGGAGAGTTCATTAATTGAGTTACATT